GCCTAAGCCTAAGCCTAAGCCTAAGCCTAAGCCTAAGCTAAGCCTAAGCCTAAGCCTAAGCCTAAGCCTAAGCCTAAGCCTAAGCCTAAGCTAAGCCAAGCCTAAGCCTAAGCCTAAGCCTAAGCCTAAGCCTAAGCTCAAGCTAAGCCTAAGCCTAAGCCTAAGCCTAAGCCTAAGCCTAAGCCTAAGCCTAAGCCTAAGCCTAAGCCTAAGCTCTAAGCCTAAGCCTAAGCCTAAGCCTAAGCCTAAGCCTAAGCTAAGCCTAAGCCTAAGCCTAAGCCTAAGCCTAAGCTCTAAGCTACTAAGCCTAAGCCTAAGCCTAAGCCTAAGCCTAAGCCTAAGCCTAAGCCTAAGCCTAAGCCTAAGCCTAAGCCTAAGCCTAAGCCTAAGCCTAAGCCTAAGCCTAAGCCTAAGCCTAAGCCTAAGCCTACAAGCCTAAGCCTAAGCCTAAGCCTAAGCCTAAGCCTAAGCCTAAGCCTAAGCCTAAGCCTAAGCCTAAGCCTAAGCCTAAGCCTAAGCCTAAGCCTAAGCCTAAGCCTAAGCCTAAGCCTAAGCCTAAGCCTAAGCCTAAGCCTAAGCCTCAAGCCTAAGCCTAAGCCTAAGCCTAAGCCTAAGCCTAAGCCTAAGCCTAAGCCTAAGCCTAAGCCTAAGCTACAAGCCTAAGCCTAAGCTCAAGCCTAAGCCTAAGCCTAAGCCTAAGCCTAAGCTAAGCCTAAGCCTAAGCCTAAGCCTAAGCCCAAGCCTAAGCCTAAGCCTAAGCCTAAGCCTAAGCCTAAGCCTAAGCCTAAGCCTAAGCCTAAGCCTAAGCCTAAGCCTACCTAAGCCTAAGCCTAAGCCTAAGCCTAAGCCTAAGCTACAAGCCTAAGCCTAAGCCTAAGCCTAAGCCTAAGCCTAAGCCTAAGCCTAAGCCTAAGCCTAAGCCTAAGCCTAAGCCTAAGCCTAAGCCCTAAGCCTAAGCCTAAGCCTAAGCTAAGCCTAAGCCTAAGCCTAAGCCTAAGCCTAAGCCTAAGCCTAAGCCTAAGCCTAAGCCTAAGCCCAAGCCTAAGCCTAAGCCTAAGCCTAAGCCTAAGCCTAAGCCTAAGCCTAAGCTCAGCCTAAGCCTAAGCCTAAGCCTAAGCCTAAGCCTAAGCCTAAGCCTAAGCCTAAGCCTAAGCCTAGCCTAAGCCTAAGCCTAAGCCTAAGCTTCAAGCCTAAGCCCAAGCCTAAGCCTAAGCCTAAGCCTAAGCCTAAGCCTAAGCCTAAGCCTAAGCCTAAGCCTAAGCCCTAAGCCTAAGCCTAAGCCTAAGCCTAAGCCTAAGCCTAAGCCTAAGCCTAAGCCTAAGCCTAAGCCTAAGCCTAAGCCTAAGCCTAAGCCTAAGCCTAAGCCTAAGCCTAAGCCTAAGCCTAAGCCTAAGCCTAAGCCTAAGCCTAAGCCTAAGCCTAAGCCTAAGCCTAAGCCTAAGCCTAAGCCTAAGCCTAAGCCTAAGCCTAAGCCTAAGCCTAAGCCTAAGCCTAAGCCTAAGCCTAAGCCTAAGCCTAAGCCTAAGCCTAAGCCTAAGCCTACGCCTAAGCCTAAGCCTAAGCCTAAGCCTAAGCCTAAGCCTAAGCCTAAGCCTAAGCCTAAGCCTAAGCCTAAGCCTAAGCCTAGCCTAAGCCTAAGCCTAAGCTAAGCCTAAGCCTAAGCCTAAGCCTAAGCCTAAGCCTAAGCCTAAGCCTAAGACTAAGCCTAAGCCTAAGCCTAAGCCTAAGCCTAAGCCTAAGCCTAAGCCTAAGCCTAAGCCTAAGCCTAAGCCTAAGCCTAGCCTAAGCCTAAGCCTAAGCCTAAGCCTAAGCCTAAGCCTAAGCCTAAGCCTAAGCCTAAGCTAAGCTAAGCCTAAGCCTAAGCCTAAGCCTAAGCCTAAGCCTAAGCCTAAGCCTAAGCCTAAGCCTAAGCCTAAGCCTAAGCCTAAGCCTAAGCCTAAGCTAAGCCTAAGCCTAAGCCTAAGCCTAAGCCTAAGCCTAAGCCTAAGCTAAGCCTAAGCCTAAGCCTAAGCCCCAAGCCTAAGCCTAAGCCTAAGCCTAAGCCTAAGCCTAAGCCTAAGCCTAAGCCTAAGCCCAAGCCTAAGCCTAAGCCTAAGCCTAAGCCTAAGCCTAAGCCTAAGCCTAAGCCCAAGCCTAAGCCTAAGCCTAAGCCTAAGCCTAAGCCTAAGCCTAAGCCTAAGCCTAAGCCTAAGCCTAAGCCTAAGCCTAAGCCTAAGCCTAAGCCTAAGCCTAAGCCTAAGCCTAAGCCTAAGCCTAAGCCTAAGCCTAAGCCTAAGCCTAGCCTAAGCCTAAGCCTAAGCCTAAGCCTAAGCCTAAGCCTAAGCCTAAGCCTAAGCCTAAGCCTAAGCCTCAAGCCTAAGCCTAAGCCTAAGCCTAAGCCTAAGCCTAAGCCTAAGCCTAAGCCTAAGCCTAAGCCTAAGCCTAAGCCTAAGTCAGCGAATTGCTTGCCCGAACCCAGGTTCGGGCATTAAGGGCGGGCATCGCTTTGCGCAACGAACTTTCTGCTACGCTAGAGCAAGCGTGAGAAAAGGGAAGCGGATGGACGCTAGTTTAGCAGTTTCGCAAGAAAGGGCCGCGGCCCATCAAACAATCCAAAAACGGCAATGTGCTGGAAGGGGCAAAAGCATCCATAAGCCCCTATGACTTTTTCAGCCGATTTAATATTGCAAGCCCAGGATCAATTCTTGCAGAGTAGAATTTTACGGTTCGAATGATACGTTAGCCCCCGAATACCCCTCTTCACAAAGCCTCCAACCAAAACCGCCTTCGTTTTCATACTTTCTGAACTCAGTTTTCTTAGTGCTTCGTATCATTCGAATCGCCGGGTTCCATTCTTGAAGTTGGCACAAGTTTTTTTTCAGGTTCGCTCTAATTTTAAAGTTATGAGGCTTAGAAGTTTTGGCCCAATACATTTTTGAGTCGATAGGGGTGCCGCGTTGCTTAGGGCCTTATTGCCACTAATTTTGGGTGTGAAACAAAGCAACTGGATAAATCGGGCTATCTACTAGTAACAAAGTTATCCCCCCCCCTCCGCCCTCTGTAGTTCATACGGCCCTTCCTAATATAATCAAGTAAAATATATCTAGCTTCTTCCAAACAAAAATTTCGGAGCCTGGCAAAGAAGCCGACATTTTATACAAAAAAAAAGCGGTTTTAAATGTTTTACACGACTGACATTTTGTCCTAAAGTGGTTGCATGTTTTCACATTTCACCTGATAGAGCAAACAATTCCCTGCAAAAAGCACTTGCTTGCTTTATCATCCGCATAGGAATTAGCCCCCTTAAAACGCGCTTGAAAAGACTTGATTACGTGCTGCACCCACCTTGTTTGGGACACGCCAAAATTGTACGATCGTTGTACGATCTAACAAAAAAAGAGATGGAAAATGATAGGAAAAGGGAAGCAGATGTTGGCGTGATGGCAAGTAGAGGGACTCGTTGAGGGATGGTGTACACCATTTCGAAAATCACCATTTCGACAAACAATATTTCGCCATAGCCCTTTCCCCCCGTGCCGAAAATCTGGGTTTTGTTCGCTTTGAGGTTGAAGGTCGATTTTTTCACTGGAAATTCTAACATTTATTAAGACGATGCTCGGTCCTTATAAATACCATTAAAACACTTTCTATTAAATATCAATGATAGCAATATCCACAAAAGGCCGCTAAAAACAGTTGTTTTTCGAGATTGCGAGTTTTATATCCATGTAAAATAGTGTCTTTTCGCAATAGTGGGCTACTTTTTATTTACTCCCCCCCCCAGCCGGAAGGTTTTGGTTAGAACCAGGGTTGTTCATTTTGAGTCCGGTCCGCGTCCGTCCGCGTCCGGGACGGGACGCGTCCCGTCCGTCTCATTAGCATAAAATTTTGCGGACGGACGCGGCCGCGTCCCGGACGGACGGGACGGACGCATGGCGGACGGGGACGGGGAGCGACCGCGCGTCCGAGATGCAAATTAATTCATGGTAATCTTAAAATGAAAACCAGGAAATTCGCAATAATTTTGCAGGTTTTGCGGTGAATTTGATTTTATTGGACAGTAGGTTGCCATGTACAAGTAGACATGCTAAAAACCAGGCCCTACCAAAGGTTTTACGTCCAACAATGAAAATCTAGGCGCATCATTATGATTTGAATCCGGTTTTCTCATTAGCATCGCGGACGCAGTTACTTCCGGCGTCCGCCGTCCGTCCCGTCCGTCCGGGACGCGTCCCCGTTCGTCCGCAAAAATTTATGTAAATGAGCGGACGGGGACGCGTCCGCGTCCCGGACCGTCCGCGTCCGTCCGCGAACAACCCTGGTTAGAACTGTTTTCTTTGAGATTATTTTAGGCTGAAATCAAAACTTTTACAGGGTATCGCAAAAAATCGACCCCACTCTAGCGACTCGTAGAAATGTCCGATTTCGACGGTTTAGGTATCTATCGAAAGCTCTCGGAAAGGCGACCAAAAAAGCTCTTTTCGTTCTTCAATATAGGCATTTTTATTCACTAAATTTAGAGCGAATCCATGAAAACTGCAGATTTTATGCAAAATCCGCATGTTAATTGCTTGCTAAATCTAACAGGACGATGCTGATTTTACGCTTTTTTTTTTTTCAAAAATCGTGCAAAATCGAGCGCGGGCTAAAAAAATATGATAAAACAAAAAGCGCGTGTTTTCTCGCCTTTCCGAGAGCTTTCGAATGCTGTAAAAATCATCACGATCCTAGTTTTCTCTGGACCGCTGGGGGGCAGCCGATTTTCTTTCGACTGCCCCCCTAGCGATTTCATGTTTTTCGACGCTCTATCGAATGGCGTTGCAAAAATCCCGAAAGAAAGAGCCAAAATATCGAAAACTTTGAGACCCTTTGGCTGTGGGGGGTAAGTAACCTCTTACCAAATAGTGTTTTCGAAACAGTGATTTTCGAACTGGTGTGTGCGAATCGTCGTTGAGGAATGAGCATTTGGAATGTGTACAGTCGATTGAAGTCACATTACATATCGCTGAGGGTGGCAATTATTTGAGATGGACGACAGGCACTGGGATACGGTAGACCACATTTCCCGATGGGGCGAACACCGTGCGCCCCAAGCAGATGGCCAACCCGTCGAGGGGCTGCTCCACTTCCACCTGAAAGCAGTCTATCAGATGACATCGATCAAAAAATATTTTCTATCGAAATGTCGATATTTTTGCATATGGGGTTTTTTCCGGATTCCAAGTTTTTCCTATGCCTCCAAAATGTCTAGTGACGCAACAGTAAGTATTTTAATTGTTTTTTTAATCAGATTTGACTAGCTTTCAAGTGGAAAAACAATTAGAATCGATCCCATAGTGCAAATTTTTTTGTCGAAAATCGGCATTCTTTGCTCGTAAAATTGATGGTGTCCTGTATTATTAAGTAAACCTTGCAATTTTTCCGGGTTTCGGAATAGTAAAAAACCCCCACGTAAAACCGGTCTTCTATTTATATTGGAGAAATGTTGTTTCTTCCCCCCCCCGTTAATGCGAAACCACCGTAAATTTCGAGATAATGAAATTCCGATGGCTTGAAAGTAAAAATAAAGAATTAAAGCCATAAGCCATTAAAATCTTTTAATGTAAATTTTTAAAAACGTGCTTCTTTGACGAGGGCCTTATAGCCGAGATCCCAAAATGAAATGGTTCGATGTTGGGCAGTGACGACGACACCAGTCTCCATCGTCACAATGAAGCGCTTCTCAAGTAGCGGTGATCCACCCTGTAATAGGTCATAGCTTACTCTCACCCATCTCTCGATCGCTCTCTCTCTCTCTCTCTCTCTCTCTCTCTTTCTCTCTCTCTATCTCCTTCTTCTCTCTCTCTTTGGGTTTCTCAATTTCTCTCACTCCCTCAGGCTCGCTCTCTCTAACTCCCTTTCTCCCACTCTCTCCCTCACCCTCCTTCTCACTCATACTCACAACCTTTCTCACTCTTTTTCACGCTTACTGTCTCTCCCCCCCTCTCTCTCTCCCTCTCTCTCTCTCTACCTAATCAAGCTACCGTACCCCTTGTGGTGGATGTGTTCCCATCCTTGTGATCAACTGGCCACTCGGTCGATCCCATACACTCAATTGCCCATCAGCGCCCAACCCCAGCAGATACTCCCCGGTCGCCGCCAATTCCACCGCGTATCTAAAAATTTGTTTCAAACGGCACCCTACATCAAATTTATTCTGAATTATAACCATACCTTTACTTTACACTACTTTAATTTACAGACATTATTCTCTAGCCGGCCGCAGATGTGTCAGATTTTTACGATTTAGGTATTTATGATATCAAAAGCTCTTAGAAAAGCAAGCCCAGCACGCCCTTCCCATTCCCAACATTTACTATCTTTATTTTGCGAAACGGACAGATTTTCTGAGGTTTTCCTAACCAATGGTTTTGCATAAAAATGACAATGTAAGGATTTTTAAATTTTTCCTGGTGGGCCATCGACAGCTTTTTGCAAGCCGTTTGCAAAAAGACAGCTTGGGTAGGGCTTACTGGCATTTTTGACAACCTAGTGGGTCCTTTTCGCTTGAAAAATGCCGAAAATTGAGCATAATAATTCGGAAAATTGATTTCTTTTGGGACACCCTTTAGCTAAAGTCATTCTAAATTGCGTTATTTCATTCCCCATGCTGCTTGATGAAACTGACCCAAACGGATCCTCGGTGCTGCGAATCAGTTTGCCCGTCGTCATCCGCCACCAACAAACCACGCCCTCCTCACACGCCGAGAATATAACCTTCGAAAGCAAGCATTAGACGTGCGTAAAACCCTCGTCTCCTCACGTCTTCTGACTCGTCGATTAGCAGCGACGTGACGGGAGCCTTGTGGAATTGGAGATGTTGCAGGCCACGACACGTACGATTGTCCCACAATTTCACTTAAAATCAGCGCTCTTTTTACTTTTTAATCATCTTTTATCAACTTTAAAAGCTTCTACGTAAAGTTAGAGAATCTGCCGACATTTTTGGCAATCGTTCTTGAAACAAATTGTTATTGTCTTCGCGTTACGCGTAAATACCCTTCGCACTGACCGGAATGATCATGAGAAGCCGTGGCGAACAACGCGTCACCCATCTCCAACACGGTCATTGGGGACTGATGGGCGGCAGAATGACCGAGTTGACGAACAGACCGGATGCGGAGTGGCTGGAAATAACATATTGCTTTTATAATCCTTTAAACTGCTTTAGGTTTTCCTGGAGTATCACAAACCGACGCGTCACATATTTGAATATTCAGCCCACCTCGCCTTCCGAAAAATCGACGCGCAACACTTCGACCGAACCATCGAGCCGGGCGAGGGCAATTAGAGATCCGCGGATCTGAAATGGCGACTAGAGGATCAGAGAGAGAGAGAGAGAGAGAGAGAGAGAGGGGGAAAGAGAAAGAGAGAACACGCAACCTTCATCTGCACGATGCCCGACTTATTTTCCAGATAGACGGCCAGCAGCTTGGCGCGTTGAAAGGAGCCAATCTCCAGTGACCCATCAGCGCAGCCGAGCACCAGAATTTTCTCGCTAAAAGGAGAGGTACACTGTAGCGTAAAAAGCCCCTACTTTGCATCCACAGTCCAAACTGCCGGCAGTTCGTGTCCGTTCTGGGCCCTCGGCGTTCCGTTTATAGGATCACCACGACGCCGTGCCTCATCAGTCGTTTCCTTTCCAAGCGGATCAAACCGGTTGCGGGCCATCTCGCGACGATTCTCGTCTGAATGTCTGAATGTGGAAATCGCTAGAAAACGAACCCAATTTCTCGTCCCAAAAAATGACCCTTCCGCCCTGGCATACGGTACACAACAGCGATTGGCCCGGTCCGCCCGCCTTCACGAATTCGATGGGGAAACGGTGGCCTTTCAGCTTTGTATAGCCCTCAAGAAACCGTTATGAAAAAAAAGAAAAAGACTTGCGCACCAATTCGATCAGGCCGCTTTTTGGACGAGACGTCGGTGATGGGGAGAGATCGGGCTGAAAGGGAGGGGTTAGAGAGTGCGAGAAAGGGAGAGGGAGTGAGACAGAGGGGGAGAGAAAACGAGATAGAGAGAGCGAGAGCTAGAGAGATCCAGAGAACGAGAGAGCCAGCGAGAGAGGCAGGGAGAGAGAGACACAGGGAGAGAGAAAGAGAGAGAGAGAGAGAGAGAGAGAGAGAGAGAGGGAGCGAGAGAGGGAGCGAGAGAGGGAGAGATACCTCACATACCTGTGGTCCCTCAATTCCGCGCCATCCATTCCTCCATTGACCCCAAAAGCAGGCGTACGACAGGAACAAAATGACGATCGTCAACACGCACAGTGCACAAACGGCCATATACACGCGAAGTTGACGCTCGAGCCATTCGATTCGGGACCTGGGAATCCATTAAAACTCGAGCCCCTCTCCATCCATACCGTAATTCTTTAGGCGGATCTTCGGCCTGTTCCCCGCCTCTTCCGCCTACCCTATCCGCATCTGTCGGACGTGGCGGGACCGCGAACAGCATCGGATCATCGGGCGCAATCTTAAAGTGTTGTTTCTAGTTGCCTACCGTATTCTACCGTAGTCTTTAGCACAATTGGCGGTAGATACGTGATGTAGTGACCGCTGAGGGTCATGTTGTACTCGGCGAATAGGGCCGGCCACCACTAAATTCGTCCTTTGGCTCTTTTCTGTTAGCGGGGGGGGGCTTTGGCTCACCGATTTGTAACACAAACCATTTATGTAGCTTTTGACGCGGTTGTTCAATGCGGAAAGTTGATAAAAAATTATACAATGGTCGAAAATATTGATGTTTGCTATGAGGATCTATGAAAAAAAGCCAAAAATTGTGAAATTTTTTGATTTAAAAAAAATGATGTGACTTTTTGTTATCCAAAAATACCCTATTAAAAGCAAAAAATTGTATAACGTAGTCATGGGCTAGATAGCTACAGTAGCGTGCAAAAAAGAAGGCAACACCCAGGAAGATCTTGTAGCCCGGTCGCCTCGTTAGATTTTGCGTGTGCGTTTAGAAAAAGTAGATTATTTGGAGCTATTTTAAATTCGATATTTAAGCTACTAAACGTAATTTTCGCGGCTCGGGACCATGCTCATCGAATTCTACAGCATCGAAAACACTAGGAAGCATTGCGCTTGGCGCAAAATCTAACGAGGCGGCCGGGCTACAAGAGCTTTCTGGGTGTTGCCTTCTTTTTTTGCACGCTACTGTACCCCCCCGATAAGAGAACCGCTTCCATATTTTGCAAAGGGCAGCAAAATGCCTGCATAATAAAGAAAATATGCAGGTAACCTGCTACAAGTAGCAATTAACCCCTTACCGTACCTTGAACGTGCGCCGTTGCCATTCCCCCCACTGCTGGGGCGCCGTCTCGAGCAGTCGCTGCGAGACCCCGAAACGGCTCGCATCTGAAAATGTGGAAAATACATTGTAAAACGAAAAAACCATCAAAACTCCATCGAAAAAAGCAAAAACTGCCGTAAATCCAACCTCGGGACAAAAACTGACCGGCGGCATCATCGGGTAATCGCCGCTGCACGATGAAACCAAGCCAAATGACCCACAACGCGAATAGCACCTAGATAACCCTCAAATATAGCAAAAGCTGATCGGAACTAACCATCAAGGTCCGCTGGAAAAGCCGTGTCCGCGAGATGAACGACATGAAGCCGAGTCGTCGTGCCGAAACCATACGACCCATCAACGGCTTGTCGTTGTCGTCGAAATCTGGCTGTTTTGCTGTCGAGGCAGAGCGGCGATGGCCTAAAATATCTCCGATATCGCTTTATTGTTGGGCTGTCACTTGGCCGACCTTTCTTCGTGACCGATTTGCCGTGATCTACCGTCCAAAGGCCGTTGAGACGAGATTCGGAGAGGGCTCTTGTCAACCGCTTCTTCCGCGCCTTCTCGAATAAGCTTGGCCATAGCCGCTTCACCGGGCAACTGAAATAGGTATCGATAAAAATATACACACGCTACGACAGTAAGAAAAATGTACTGATCAAAACCAAATGCAAACATCAAAAACGGAGCTTTCGCAATATCGGGGCGAACGGGGCCGAATTTTCCTATAAGCCCAGAAAAACCTCATAGCTTAATAGTAAGTCTTTTAATAATGTTGTTAGTAAAATTTACCTATATTTAAAGCGCTAAAATCATCTTAAAAACCAATGAAGCTTTTAGTCAAAATTTTGGTTAAAAAAATCGTTTTTTTGTAGTTTTTAACAAAAATTTGTCAGTTTTGAAGATTCGGAATAGTAACAAACATTTAGAGACAGATACCATATTTGTATTCGAGATTTGGATCTTAAGGAAAGCCACCCCCCCCCCCGATATTGCCAAAGAACCGAAAAGCCATAAAACATACTTGACGGTTGGAAAAGTGCCCAATGGTGGCACTTTGATGGTTAGCAAAGGAGGGAGAAACGCTTCTTCTCGTCATCGCTGAGCCGATGCAGATCGAGGACAAGGCATGGAATGTAGAAAAACAGCTAAAATGTCAAACGAATTAGAGGCTATTTGCCCAAAATAGTAATAGCTTGGTTTGAAACAAGCGCGTAACTTGCTAAACATCTTATATCCTACTATCCTATCCTACTATATATAAAAAAATAGTGTTTGTGTGTGTGTGTGTGTGTGTGTGTGTGTGTGTGTGTATATTTGCATGCACTTCCGTTAGGATGTTCCGCACCTACAGCCTCAGGGAAGCATTTTTTCGGTAGGGAAGAAACGACAATAGGTTTAGAATGGTCCGGAATCGACTGCACACACATAAAAATTTTGAAAAATTGTGGTTTTTGCTATTAAAAATAGGTTTTTGTAAAACCCGCTTTGTTAGGGGCAATTAGCATCCGCCGGAAGCGGAGGTGGCTTATAAAAAGGAAGGGCGGGCGTGGTTTTCATTTTTTGGTGATTTTTTCTCGGCAACAATTATGCAAAGTCACTACTTTCATAGGTCCTAGACGGGGCCAGGGTTGAAAAGCCGCGAAGCGGTTTTTCAACCCTGGTATAAAATAAGAAAAGAAAAAAGATACCTGCATGAAAAAGTCAGTCACCAAGCCGACAAAGGCAAACTGGCAGAACTGCTGGATCTCGAAGACGCCGGTGATAAAGCCGGCAGAGAGGAAGATTAGCTCCAAGAGGAAATACCTGGATAATATGTTCAAAAGACACAAATAGGGTAACGGGGGGATAAAGGGGGATCATTATTTCTAATATTTTCAAATATTGTGTGATTTCCAAAAAATATCATAAGAGAATTAATTTCAGCCCCAAAAAATGTAAGGGAATTTTTTATTGAATAAAGAAGATATTGATACGATAACAGGGAGGAAGCCAAATTTTTGAGATTTTCGATATTTCCAAATGGCCAATCGATAGAACGTCAAAAATACACTAAAATAATTTTTTTCAGCACAAAAAAATGTAATGCAAAAGCTTTATAGCATTAACATGGTTGGTTCAAAAGATCGGCCCCTAAAGGATAATGGGGGAACCTATTTTTGACGTTTTGAATATTTTCGTTATTTTGAAAATTCGATACGATGGAGGGCCGAAAAATATGCTAATAACTTTGTTATAGCCCGAAAAACCATGGTTAAAACTATTGTTATAATAGAAAAACTTAGTTTCCTCCTCCCCCCCCCGTTATTCTAAGTGTACCGCTCAAAATATTATCTAGGTAGAACCAGAACTTCGAAAAGAATGACAGCAAATGTTAAGCATACTTTGCAATGGTGTACCCCTCGTGTGAAAGCCCGTGCGCAATCCTCGACGCCACATCAAGCGAAGGCGGCGTGTAGACCACGGCTCTAAAATACAAAAAAAAACATTAACAATAATAAAAACCCTACTTGGTAATGCAGAGCACATTTTCTAAGCTGACGATCAGCGCGAGATACGGGAACAAATCGGCTCCCCATAATGACGGTTGCAAGTCCAGATATGCCGAGACACCTGAAAAATCCTTTTTTTTTTACTTTTAGCTAAAACAATACTTAAATAACTTTAAACTAAGGTGAAAGGATATTTTAAAATCTGCAAAAGAGCCATTTAATCCCTTTACCAGCTGTAATCATCAGAGTTGCGGCAATGGTAAAGGCAGCAGCCAACGCCAACCCCGCCCTTGATGACACCATCTCGAATTTTGACGCCGAATAGTAAAGATAGGCCTAAAAACGGATTTTCTTCGATTTTTACAAACTTACCCCAAAAATTGTGTAGGATAAGATGAGAGGAAAATAGTCGGTAAAGTATTTTCGAGGGCGATAGAAAACGTGGACAAATGTCGTGTCGTCCTGGGCCTCGCTTTCCACTCGGCTGAAAGCCGTTTCCAACGATAAAGCCATTTTCTGTAGGCATTTATAGTAGAAAAGTGAATTGTTTTCTACCTGAATGGTGTGTTCGTCATATTGATGCAGGAACAGGGTGACCGTAAAGTCGATTGCTAAAAAATTGCCTTTTTCCAAAAATGGGTAAAGTAGATTGCTGAAAAATAATTATATTGATTTTTCCTGCCGATTTGGTCATTTGTAGTATAAATATCGAAGATTCTACTATTTCTCAGCTTAAAAGACTCTCAAAACCTATGAAAAATTTCGAGTGAAAATTTTTAAAGAATGAAATTTCGAAAGAAAGAATGAAGATTTTTCGACCAAAAATCCCCTTTCTAAGATTCCGATTTTTAAGCATTTTTCAAGGTTTTCTCAATAGTTTTTCCGCTACAAATATAGCTAAATTTTACGAAAAAGAATATTAGAATCATATTTATGACATTACTATCAATATCTGGACCTAAAGAAAAAAATTCCGGTTCCTTACCCTCGCGGGTTCTTGAGTATTTGCGGGGGGAGACAAAACTTTTTTCTATGGCCGCATAATCGTCTAGCCTGTAATTATAGCTTTTTTGGCCAAAATTAGCTATATTTGATGCGGAGAAACTTTTCAAAAACTGGGAAGAAAGGGAAAATTTCGTAATTCCGACTGCTACAAATAGATTTTGCGGCCTAAAACTAAATTTGTTAACCTAAGCGACGTTTGATTTATGATTTTGTACGTTTAGGAATAGCTAAACGTATCCGCTATGTATCTCAAAAAACCTAGATTCGGGCGAAAAAAAAGAAAAAGGGAATTTGGGGTCCCGGCGAGTACCCAAAAAACCCGCGGCGATTTTTCTCAGAAATAAAAAACTTTAGCTCTTTAAAACTTTGACGATTCTCACTTCTTTTCCTGTTTGTTTGAAAGCGCTGCTTGACTCCCGACATCCCAGCCGGCATTCCCAGCAACAGATCACGCACACACAGCTCGGGCGAACAATTTGCCGCGTACACCGTCGACACGACATTTTCGTCCTAAACCACGTCTTGTGAAAACGATACTTCTGCCAAACCTCTCTCATCCTCTCCACATCATCATGCCAGAAGAGACTTGGCGACGTCAGGAGGCACCCCCTACGCGGAATGCCCAGCTCTCCGTTGTTTTGTATTTGCAGGCAGATGGCGCTCAATTCAGGCACCATCCTCAGCTTCTCCATGGCGATAAATGCCCGTGAAAGGGGTCCTCGAATCGATTGCTCAACGCTTAAATTGGCCGCATGCCAGGGCTCGACCCCCGATCGAATGACGATCTGTTGGAGGTATGCGGCCGGCGATAGTTGCAGCCATTCCGGACCGGCTGAATTGCGGTTTATACGGGTTGTTGCTTTTTAACCTACTGTTTGGCTCCGGAATGCCGGTGCTCCAGTGGACATCCATCGGGGAGGAGATGGGCAGTCGGAATCGGGAAACTGTCGGCAATGCGAGAAGCACGAAGAAGCAGATCGTCATCGAAAGGCATAGAATTGGATGGGCCGCGCAGAATCTGCAACTTTGTCTTGGTAGCCGCTAAAAAACCATTTTTGACGATTTAACGTTTTCTATCCGCCCAGCGATCCAGGTCCCTAAAAAAACTACGCGCAAGCCTATTTTCAAGCAAAAAACTCTTGAAAAACAAAAAATCATCGCCGAATTTATGTTTATTTTAAGATATCATAGGGATTTTGAGGGATTTCAGCTCTATAATCATTGGAAAAATGAAGAACGCACGTTTCCTTCCTGGAATCCTTTTGGTTTCGAAATTACGAGTTAAATCGAGGCTTTTCTCACTTTTGATGATTTTCATGACTTTTGATTGTGAGATATTCATGCCCATGACACATTATTTACCTGCCATGCTCATAAAAAGCCTGCGCGACGCGGGCTTTGATCGTCGGATACAGGCGGCGATCGCGTCGTTGTTCGGCATTCATTTCAGCGCATCTATTACTCACGGATTGTCGAGGATCATTCGAATACACACAAGACAGCACCACTCTCGTAAAGAACCGCCAAAGCTAACCAAGGTCACGCCACAACACCCATCTGCCAAATCGGGACACCATTTATTGCGCAACAATTTATTCATCCCAAATGGTGAAACACATAACAAGTTCCGGAGACAATTTTCCAGGCATAAAAAGCGAACTAGAGATGGCCGGGTTTGAATGTCTAAAGACAGAAAGTTGGCCATCTCAGCCCTATACGATGGAAAATAAATCAAGAACGGTATTGGCGGGATAAATGGAGAGTAACAGCAAGATGAAGTACGGTGTTTATGATGACGACGTCGATCACAGCGAAACCATGCGCTCGTGGAGCGAGAGTTGAGTCTTCGTCAGATTGGCCAGGTACGAAATCATCATGTAGTCCTAAAACTGAAAGTTATGAATCGTCAACAAGAGGTACCCGAAGACTGTTCTTCACAAGGGCGTCCAGTTTGTCTTGTTGCAGATGGGTGGCAGCCTAAAAAAAGAATATTATTGCAAATCAAACTATTAAATACCGTCTGGACAATATCCATCAGCTTGCGTCCAAGAGTCGCGTCGGCGGGCAATTCGTCTCGAGCCAACACCTCGTCAACATATCTGAAAAAAAGATCGATAATTAACGCATAAATAATGGATTTCCCAGAAAAGCACCCAGTAAAGGTGCGAAGCCAATGTCGATTTTTACGTAATACGGATCTAGCCGAGAAAACAAGTGCTTCTCGCTGATTGATAAGTAGTTTAATGGTGGATTTTCGGATGAATAAAATGCGAAAAGAGCTGATTCCTGCGACAGACGCAGGTTAGCTGCTATTTTGACGCACAAAAAACGCGGCTAAAAGCCCAGATCACCCGCAACAGAGAATATCAAGAAGACGCTAAACAATTCAAGAAAACGAAGCTTGATCGCTTTTTCGCTTTTCCCAGGGCCTTCGAACGGCATAGGAACCCTAGCTATTCGAGATTCCTCCGGTATGATTTTGGCACACCAAGTACTTACTGCAAGACACGCTCGAGCCATTCCACAATTTGTCCAGTGCTCTTCTCCAACTGGGAAAGTCCATTGTCGAGGTTCACCTCACGCTGTTTGTCCTCGACGCTGCCCTAAAAAAACAAAAATACACTTTTGACGCGAAAAACTGCAGTGCAGTAAAAAGAAAACGATTTTTCGACCTTACCTGAATCAGATTTAAGGCAACGCATTCGCCGGGGAAGGCATCCATCTCGACCCGGAGCGGGTTGAAGATGGCACAATGGGGCTCGGGATTTCCGGAGATTCCGGCCTTCGAGCTAAAAAGCATGATTTTCATAAAGGTAAACCGCCTTACCGGAAATAGGCGCGCACGGGCATTCGCTCCTTGTCCTCCACGGAGCTGAAAGTTGTGTCCAGGGTCAGCAAAATCACCAACGGGGTCTCCCGCCGAGGGCCAAAGGCCTAAAATGCCAATTTACAAAGAGATATTGAAATTTACCTCATAAACAACCCTTGAATAATAGTCATGATAGGGCAGGCACGCAGGAGAAAGGTCCGGTGAGGTGTAGAACCTAAATGGTGGAATTTTCGGCCAAACGTTGATAAACAGACCATCCAACAGGTTGCTCGGTGGGGGTACTACGTTTCAGCATGTGGATCATGCTTTGGTTGAAGGAATCGTCGAGCTCGGGCTGATCGCGGTTCTCATTGAACGGGATCGCGAAGCAATTTGTGACCTAAACAATACAGATCAAAAAGGAATCCATTGCACACCTGGACGGCCCCTTTCTCGTAGAAACCCATCAGTGTCCCGAGGGCCTTGTCGTTGGCTTGATTGGCCTTGATCGGGCGAGAACGACGTTCGTACGCATCGACGATCGTCAGATAGACGACCGGGTGCACCTTGACGGTCAGAGAAGACGCCATTATTCGAGATTACCTGAAAAGAGAACTTGAATCAAGGTTTGGCAAGGAATAAAAGAACGGTCAAAAATTGCACAAGGGCTGACAAGGGTTAAAACAGCATTTAGTGATGTCACTCATCATTGTGACCTTCATTCTCGCACCAAAAGACATGAGCTATTGAATTTGGTGGTCCCGAGGGACGCTAAAAACCTTGTTCAATCGGTCTGAATGAAGTCTAAAAGAGGGAAATTCGATGCAACACTAGCAAAGAGAACGTTCATAGACCATCAGGTACCGCCGATCGAGCAAGATTTTAGCGCCCTTCGATATGGATAGAAATGTATAGACAAAAATCGATAGATCGCGGAACCAATCCAATATAACAGCCGTCGAGACGGTCTTTGATAATTCTACCGGCTCACCAATCAACAACCTTTATCGCAATTATGCACCAGACAAGAAAAGGTGTATACAGTTGAACACATTGTTATGTACAGTCAAACGATACATGCGAAAAGGTTGTTAGTTCCGTCGTTGTCGCAGCTCGTTGCCGTTTTGTTCATATGGGGGTGGGGCCATCGAAGCGCCGGCCGGCACCAACTCCTCGGTGGCTACCGGTTGCCGTTCAGCACCCATGCCCGGGTAGGGAGGCGGAGCTTCTTGCATGAAGACATTGTCAGGACGGTCCGAATGTGTCTGGCGTGTACCCTAGAAAAAAAATTATAAGATACGGTGCTCGTCGTGATCGAGGGGAGGGCTTCGGGGGATATTATATGTAATTCCAGAAACGTTTGAGGATTTTCGTAAATCTTTATCGTAGGAAATCTCCAAATCTTCTATTCAATTCAATTTTCAAGTTTCACTTTTGAAATTTAATTCAGGAATTAAAGTTTCAAAATTTGAAACTTGTTAAGCTTTATTAACTAATTTTCATGTATTTTTGAACAACCGTCAAATTTTTCGGAATTTGAGCTTTTTCACCCAGAAACGGTGTAAACTCTGAGGAACATCGTTTAGGTCCTTAGCCGTCCGAGATTACGTGGAAAAATTACCCCCCCCGCTAGGTGGGAAGCACTAATTCCTCACCAAAAATGGTGTCGCCTCATCTCCGTCGGGCTCGAAATAGTCCGGCGGGGCCGCGTAGTAGTTGCCGGTTGGCGGCGCGTAAGGTGGAGGGGCATTTTCTGGTCGAAGCCTGCAACATTATCATATTCACATCCGAATACAAAGAATACCGTGCTGCCATATCCACAGCCTTGAGCAACGCCATGCCAAACTCGATGCAACCGCCCTAAAAACGAGCTAGAGCCATAAAAAGTAGATATACCTTTGAAAACGTCAGATACCATTCGATTTCTCCATGTATATTCGAGCCGGGCATCCCTCGAACGCGGCCCTGCAGATAGTTGGCGCCTGGAAACGCAGCATTTTCAAGCAGATCAAGAAAACGCACCAAAGATCGGCTGCTGCAGATGCACATCATCCATGCAACCGAATGGCATCTCGAACGACTTCATCTCGTCGCGCTGGAAACGGCAGCAATGTTTTTGCTGTTGCAGTATCCAAGGGTCCAAGAAAAACTGAATACCTTGTCATTTGGCATGAAGATGATGCGATGCGAGGAGAGATACAGCAGACCGACCTTCTTGCCGCTGACGTGCTGCAAAAGAAATTCTCATAAATATGGGCCAATCGTACCTGATTAGTATTTTTCTTGAATTGCATTGTGACATCGCGAACGAAGAGAAGAATGGCCTCCCCGTTGAAAATCAAAACACCCCCGCCGTCCGGCGTATTTGCGGTGTTTAGCGACATCTAGGAGCAAACCATTTTTGAAAAATAAACGTGGAACACACGGAATCAAAATGAAATTTCACAAATCCTCTTCCTTGTAAAATCGATAATTTCCACGGAATCGAACCGGCTCAATTTCTTTTCTTTGGAAGCACGAAAATGGTTAAAAATTTATGCACAATCAAAAACTCGTTCGGCAAAAAAAGAAACCTTTCTAAATGGGGGAAAACCTGCGTCGCTTGAGATTTTGGGGTGGGTGTCGCGTGGCCGTAAAAGAAAAAGAACATTACGCACAGATTCCTCAGCCGGATTGTTAGAAAAGAGGGATGGAGGGCAGTGAACTAGACTATGTATGCCTAACGAAAGCAGAATATAAAAAAAGGGATTAGTAGACAACGTTCAAGGGCACAATAAGAGTAGCTACACACAACACGATCGAAAAATGAATATGGTGGGTTGTTGACTAGTGTTTTTCCCGTTGCAAGGCAGTCATGAATTCTTCGAGGCGTTCTTGGATGTGGCGGACTTGTTCTAAAAAATGAAAAATGTAGTGAGATTGAAAAGAGAATGACTCACTCAATTCCTCGGCCAACTCTACGCGTCTGCCAGTTAGCAAAGATTTCTTGATGTCGGATTCAGAGGACCAATAATCGAGCACTTCCTGAAAGAAGATCTTTATCTAACCTTTCTTTAAGAACAACGAACCTTAATCTCTTTCTCCAACCGTCGCTGCTCGGTGTTGGTGATTTGCTGGCGAAGAGCGTTGCACGTCAACGAGATCATCTTTTCGATGCGGTAGAAGAGGACGACGGCCTGGCAGTCGAGATCTTGATCGTTGAGGCCCTGGCGATAGTGCTGGTACAGCGAGCCGCAATCCTTTGCCGCCTATAAAACTATTAATTTGATAAAAGCAACAAAACGTGCCTGTATCGTCTTTTCAAGGAAATGCTTCTTGAACATCAGCTTCCACTGTCGGCGTATCAAGTCGAGAGGAACCTGGATGATACAAAAAAAATTGACTAGCAGAAAGGGAATACCTCAATGTAGCCACGAGCCTCGATATTTCGGCGAATGACAAGCATATCCTCGTCCGTCAGCCCCTGTTTATGATCCTAAAATCAAAAATAGCGGGCGACGCCGAATGCTAACCGGATCAATGGCCAAAAACTGCTTCAGCTCGTCCTGGATGGCGCAGCAAAAGTGGTTGTCAGCAGAAGGCGTCTTCCAGCGCAACCATTTGCCCCAAAGACCCGGTCCTCGATCGTTGGCCATTTGGGTGGTGATCTGGAATGTGGAACCGCCGTTTCCAGTTCGTATTAAGCCCTTACCTCAGCCAGCCTCGCCTCGGCGCTTTTCCTCATAAAGTTACAAGCCCGATCCCAGGCTCGCTTGTCCGGAACGGCCCGATCTTCAATGGCGCTCTGCTGGATGACCCTCTGAAATTAAAACAAGAATTTTACTTTACGGCGCAAAAATACCAAATATTCGATGGCCTTCTCGTCCCAATGGTGTTCTTCACATGCCGCGTTCACCACCGCCGTCTTTAGCGGGTCAAAGATGACGTCGTGGTCCCGCCGAAGCTTGTCGTCTTTTTCGATCTGCCGCCGGAAGACTTCTTTCAGCGTCTCCCAACCAGCCTAAAGAACACGATATTTCTGGTGTTTATTCGATAACCCACATCCACACTCTCCACGGCCAGTCCTTTGTCGGCAAAATGCTTGAGCTTGATGTCGACCTGGGTGTTGAACGTGCCGGCGTTGTTGAGAGAGCTGGTCGGCATCAGAATCTGCAAAAAGTATGTCGTTAGATGTTGGAACTAGGGATAATATACCTGATCAAAGACATGCCCCGATACAGCATTCCACAGCCGGGTATGAAGAAGTCGTTCCCATTCCTCTGCTCCAACCAGAGACAGATTCACAATCTCGTCAAGAATCTCGCCGCGAGCCTGAAAAACGATGAATATAAAGCTTCAATGATTGCTGGTTTTTACCTTATCAAAAAGTTCATCGCGATCCAGTTGGCGTAGACGGGGGAACGTGTTCTTCCACTCTGTTTCGAGGTTGAAGCGCGTTGCCCTAGAAAGGATTCAATTTCGTATAGTCTGTCGCGATACCTAAATGCATCGCACTGGCTCTCGATCGAATCCCTGACCATCCGCCAAAAGCACTCTGAGACGGCAAACGACATGCTGCGCGTCGTCATTTGTGATGGCTTCAGGACGCCATCCCTAGAACAAGTTTTATTAGCTCAAAACCTATTTCCCTACTTGAGCAATTTGCTCTTGGCAAAGAATTCCTCTTCGTATTTGCGGATGTCTTCAATGCTCTCGTTCGAGTTTCCACGGCCCGTCACAACACCAAAATAGCCAAGCGCGCGCATGTTGAACAGCTTGCCCTCGAGGATTTTCCGGATCCGGTCCGGGTTGGCCAGATTTTGCTCGGCAAGATCGACCTAAAAGCTGAGTATCCTTAAAATTAGGAAATTTTATACCTTTGTTAACACCAAGATTGTACGTTGACCGGATGGGTCGATGCTGCTGACGAGATCCGTCACATTGCTACGCTCGGCGTCAACAGAACTGTAGCGGAAGTGAATTGTCCAATTTAACGCAGCTTACCCGTCTTGTATACAGAGTATAATGGCATTGGGGTTCTCCATGTGCTGTTTGCTCATTTTGATGATGTCATCCTTTGTCTCGCGAGCCATGTCAGCCGTAACGGTGGAGATGACGCCCGGCAGGTCGACGAGCACCATACGAGGGAGGTTGGGGCCTAAAATGAACTCCAAAAAAACCATGGATTCAACTCTACCTTTCACAGTAAGCGCGATAACATCATGACTGACCGTGCGTCCATCTTTTACCGAGTTGCGCATCCGGATCTGACGGTAAAAATAGAGGGAATTCGCCCGGTTTTACCTCGATTTCGCTGCGAAGTTGTCGCAGATCAGCCTCTTTGGTCAGATCAAACTCGCGTGACGAATCTTTGAACGACGCCAGATGGTATGGGCCTTCGCTCAATGTTACCTGAAACAATTGTTTCAAACCAGACAGTAAGGGTAAGGTAAAAGTCATAACAGCTCTTTTCTATTACGGGCGTTTTTTCTGTATGACCACATAAGTCTAGTAATTTGACAGAAATGGTTTTAATAGTTGGTTTCAAGGTCAATACTTTTATCTATTTCTATTTCAAAGGACAAAACTATTTCCAAGTCTTTGAAAAACTGTAAACATTCGAAGTTGGTCACAAAGCGGGTTTTATCGATGGACACTCGATACTTTTAGAATTGGTTTCTTATCACTGCAAAGTATGGAGCTAAAGTAAAACAATAGCGTAAAAAACTTCGTTTCTTTTCAGTTTAAACAACCAAAAAAGTAAACAAAAGCTTGGCTCAGAAATGTAGTTAGTATCCAGTCATCACTAGCCCAAATCCAACATGTTGGAAAGGGTCAAAGCTTCTGGGTATTCATCACGGCCATTTTTCTAGCTTCAATTTCAGCACCGGGTGATACGGAAGGGAATTGAACCCGCGAGTTCCGATCAAACGACCAAGGGTCAACCATTTGGCTATGAAGGAAGGCGATTGGGAGAACCCGCCGTCCCACCATATCCTCCACATTAATATTACCTTAACAGGTGCCCTAGTCATCATCTCGCCAGATCCTCGCGGAAAGATACGGGCTTGCGCAACCATCTCCAGCACGGAGGTTTTTCCTAGAATCTAGTTTTTGCGAAGGCGGATTAAAATTACCGGCGCTCTGGTCTCCAACAACGACAACTCGTGGCAGATTGTCGGCAGTGTTGTACGACGAGTCGTATTCGTTCAGCAAATCCAGCACCTCGGAGTACATATCGATCAACGAGCGCTAAAATCATTTTATGAATAAAATCATGGCTCTAATCACCTTTAGCCGCTTCATCCGCCGTGCTGCCCCTTGGTCCGTCAACAACAATCGCTGCTTCAGGTTCTTGTTCTCCTTCTCGAGCCGCTCCAACTCGTGCTGGTATTGGCTCTAAATGTGGAATGTGGTGAAATGAAATTTTAAATCACCTGAGTCCTGAGCATCTCCTCCTGCAGTTTTTGAAGTCGCTCCTCGGCACTCTCGACCATTTTCTCTTCTTCTTTCTTCTCTTCCTGGTTACCAAAAGCGCTGAAGAGCGCCGCCAGACCGACACCTTCTAAACTGAACATTTCCATCAAGCACTGGTTAACTTACCTTTCACTCCAGACGGGCCAGACTGTTGATTGTGTTCTTGTTGCCCTTGCTCTTTCGAATTATTTCTTCTTCTCTCCTCCATCTTCTGCAGCCACGACTCCTTCGCGTCGCCGAAGCCGGCTTTCATCGCAGCCAATTTGGTCGTAAGCTCCTAGGCCAGAACTTTATATCTTTTGGATATTTCAAACCTGAAATGCGCCAGAATCGTCAAATTTGGCCCATTCGGGCATCGAGAAATCGGGGAGCTTGGCCTTCCAGTCTTCATACCACTAAAATGATAATTGTTGGGAAGAAAAGGACAATTTTACATTTCTAGCCGCCAAGCTTCCGCCAATGGCGCCGGTCGCCAGAAACCATCGTAGACGGAGCACACCTCGAGCGACTGCGGCCACGAATTTGCGTTCTTGTTGGATGTTTAGGGCCAGAGGGCGGTGCGCCAGCCTAAACGTCATAATTTGGAATGGAGAAATTGGCCTACAATCTGCGCTCACGGGTGTTACGACTGCTGGAGACTTGGTACGACGAGAGCGCTTGTATACGAGATCTGAAAAATGTCTTTGCTATCACAAGGTACAACACACCTTCTATAAGTCCCCAGGGCCACATGTCGAAGCATCGCGCGGTTCGAGGAGTAGAGTTGCTTTACGACCACCATCCTTTACAGCACATACCTGAAATTTATCACCATCAACAAATCTGGGTAAAAACAAGATAAGAACGAAACGAAAACACGAACTAGCCGGAAAAAAATATTTGGCTCAAATAATCACAGAAGACGCACACTGGTCGAGAACGGAAACAACAATCGAGACGAGCGGGGGGCGATGGAGGATCACAGGAAGCCGTATGGGAAAAAGTGCGCGGGAAAGACTACCGAATGTTGATTAAGCTGCTTCTTTGCAAGGGGATATTGTTACAAGCAGGGTTTTTTTTGAGAATTATTGCAGTTTTGGAGATGGGAACGACATATTTTGCGCTCAGCTCGAGCTCATTCGAAAGAGTATCTTTTCCTGAGGACGAAAAACCCGCGGAACAACGATTTTGAGAAACCGACGACTTTTTAAAACGAAAAAGTGAAAGTGGCCAACTTTCCGAGCAAGAAATTTTTTTGGATGAATTATGCTTAGAAAAAGATACTCTTTCTCACGAGCTCGAAATCAGCGAATTTTGTATAAAACCGGCTTGGTCCCACCTCGAAGTTCCAAAATTTAAAAAACAACGCCTTGTGAGAGAGATGCATACACACACCTGTACAAAAAGACACAAATTTTGCTTCGAAGCATAAATAAATAGGATGTCGGATATTAAAAGATGCTAAAAGACGAATACAACGGAGAAAAGTAATAAATAGAAATTGGATATAAAGCCAAGCCAATTTCACACGGTGGGCAATTGCTTCTATGAGTGCATCAGGAAATCGTCGGCTCGATCGGTGGACCAGTTGGGGAATGAGAGGAGTTTAATCGCTTTTGGGCCGATCAGTCCCTTTCCCTCTCCGATACAACACGGGAAGTAGGGACAGGAGAGCGAAGAAGGAGAGCAGCCCGACCGAGTGCCACGACCAGGCCACATTCGTGTGGGTCATCGTCTCGAGGGTGGCCCCAGCCTGGATGAAGAGGAATGAGGGTGGGGCCACCCCGAGGAACGTCCCCCAGAAGAACGGCGAGACGGGCACGTTCAGCACCGGGGAGGCGATGTTGATGAACCAGTTTGGCAGCAGGGGTGTCACCCTGAAAAAAGGAAAGATTACTAGGTTTTCATGATTCGGGTTTCTTTTGTCTCGTTTATTCTTCATCGCAATAAATTAGCAAAAAAATTGAGGGTTGCAAAATCTGCCAAATGACAAATCGGCGAGATGAAAAATGGCGAAATTTCTCGATATTTAGTCTAGCCAAAAACGAACCTGAGGAAAATGATGTAGTTGAACAAATTCTGCTTGTGCTTCTCAATCTCCGTCTGCCACGAGTTGACACGCTCCGGGAAGTAGTGCGTCACCAGTCCACGCCCAAGCAGAAACGACAGCAAGTAGCAGACCGTTGCTCCAATGGCCGAGCACGAGCAGATGAGGGTCAGCGCGACGAAGAACGGGAACAGATAGCCCGAGAGGATGGACAGGAAGATCGATCCCGGGATGGCGAACGATTGGAGCATGATGTAGACGACGACGATCCCGCACATCACCTGAAAAGGATAGTACGGTCCAGTAATTTTCATAATCTTTTTAGCAAAATTAAGTTTCATTTTCCAGTAATTGTAATTTTGGTCAAGCGTCGAGCATTTTACGTCGAAAAAAAACTATATTTAAGTATTTTTCTACCAATTTTTATAAAAGTTTCCGTTAAGGAGTAGCAAAACAGTTTAGCCAACGCACCGTATAATAATGCTGCTCCTTGTATTGCGACAGGATCAGTCCGAGTCGCTTGGCTTCATCGAGATTCCGGGGATACTTGAAATGTTCGCGATCCTCGTCGGCAAGCTCCGGGAAATTATAGTAGACGGCAGTCAGGAGGCAGGCGAACGTGAAGAATATCCCGGCGAGGCACAGCAGTGGTCGGCTTCTCTCCGACGTCAGCATGCCCGTCTAGAAATAGTCTTTATCTTGGAGAAAAGCACCCGAGTTGAGAAGAGATTCAATAATGGAAAATAAATAAAGTTTACATTATACAACAAAGTTGACGAGTCACCGTATCAAAATGAAAAGGAATGGATCCTAAACGATCAAAGATACAATACAAAGAAGGCAGAATCATTGAAAAAGACCCCTTGTATAGCTCGAGCACCTGTAAATTTTGGGGGTTTGTGCAAAATTGAAAGTTAGAATCGTCTTTAAAGGAGTTTTTGACTGGCATAATCGTGTATCCTTATTTTAAAGGGATGCCGACGGCATCGTCAATCGGTTACGCGCGAAAAAGAAAATGTCTCTGCGCCTCTCCCCTGGGCGCGTCTCTCCCTGTTGGCTACTTGCCAATTTGTTGATGAGGGGGGATCGACACATGCCGTCGGCAGCCCTTTAATGTGATAAAACATCCAAACACAAAGTGGACATGAGTCGGCAGCTAAATATACTCTTGGCTTATTAATTTCAGGTATATAATACTTTGTTAACGATGTATCAGACAAGAATCCTCCGCTAAATACTTTTGTATGGCTGCTAGAACTTTACAAAGTTGCTCGGACGCTCTAACTATACAAGTTTCCCAATAAAAAAAAGAAAAGGGTAATAAAGCGTGTAAATCATGCATGAACACCAAATATGCGGACAAATGGCTTTTCTCTTCCTGATGTGTGCTCGGCACCAGTATAAGCGAGAACGTAGTGAACGGGATGCCAGGCCAGGGAAAACGTCTCGGCATCGTGCTTGACTTCATAAACACGCCCGCCCGTATTCGTCCACGCAATGTCGATATGATGGTCCTCGGAAGCACCGGCCAACAAACGACCGTCGTGCGAGAAAGATATCGCGCGAATCGGCCAATCGTAGCGTCCAATCGTCCGTTCGCACATCATATCGTCGACGGTCCACAGCGAGATCAGGGAATCGCTGCCCCCGCAGGCCAATCGGCTACCATCACGCGTCATTGCCAACGCGTTACAGTTGGTGCCAGGAGAATGGACTTGTTTCGATTGAAGATGGTGCAGATCCCGGCCGTTCAGCACTTCAATTCTGCCGTTGAACGTCGAAACGAAGAGGAGGTCGCCCGTTTCATCGTAAATCACGTCGAGGATCGCATTTTTGGAGCTGAAAAGGTGAAAATTAAATGGTCAATGTTTAATTCGTTCTTTAGTATTTCCGGTGAAAAGGGGCTCCGATTATTTCCCGTTGGATCCAATTTTTTCAATGGCTAGAGGGTCTTTTGTAAGTTGTTTCTAAGCTTCATATATAGAAAAACTATCATTTTCGACCAGATACGGCCGGCCGACCGACCCTGCAAAAAAAAGTTTTTACACACTTTTTAGTTTTAAAAACTGTTTTCCACATAAAATACAAGTTTTTTTTAAATAAAAGTACGGAGTTCCCCCACAGAAATACTAAAGAACCGCTTTAAATTTCGCAGCAAAACCAACCTGAAACTCGGCTCGGTCTCGGTGAATGTCCGTTTGTCGATGACGCGCACCTTGTCGTCCTTGCCAACCACCGTCAAATAATTTCCGCACGGCGTCCAGGTGCACAGCAGATTGCCCGACTTGGTTACCATCGACGACGCGGGCTTTGTGCTCCGGATATCCCACAAGTTGACTGTTTTATTGTTCGAGACGCTGGCAACGACATTCGCGATTTGTGGATGAAAGGAAACGGCCGTCACTTCGTCGCCGTGGTTTGTGCTCTGGAAACCAGAGCTAATCCTGAAGCCCGATTCGACGGTTCCCACGGACAAATGGCCATCCTGAGTTCCGAATGCTAGCTTCGAGCCGTCGACATTCCACGAGAGCGCCCGGGCAATCCCTCGGCCTACATCCACGGCTCTCGATCGGCAATTCTTCTCAAAGTGATCATTGGCTGTGCGTCTCGTCTCAAGCTTAGGGGCTCTTCTCGAATACGGATCCTTGCGTGAGGCTGTCAGCACTTTTGTGGCCATCGTTGGCCCTGAAAGAAAATGTTTTTAGTTGAGCTACAAGGTGATTTGGAAATAAATGAAATATGAAATCAGATAAGGATCGTGGTTACCTTTTAATTGCCACCTTGATTTTTGATAAGGTCTCGATTAGTTTCAATTTGAAACTTTCAAATTTTAATCGGCGCGAAGAAAGGAAATAGTGCTGGAATGGGCTAAATTTGCTTATACGGTCACCTACTCAAAACCCAACTTTTGATATGTCAAGATGCTCAGCAGGACGTGCTGGTGCAAGATCCGTTGAGAAAACTTGGCGGAAAAAGCTCTATCTCGATCCAGATACACGACTGCGTAGTTCAATATTCTGACTGCGAAAAATTGGTTGTCGCTGAACGATAAGATCAATAACGCTTCGATTCAGGCTTAGCTTTACTCAACACACCCAGTTTAAGCCTAAAAAAAAAGCTTCGTGCCACCCAGGGCCTAGTCGCTTCGGATGGGCGCGAGCTCGTACAGGGTTTCGAAATGGGGGCGCCAAGGCCGGCGAAGCGGCGGGGGCGCCCCCATTTCGAAAGCGTGGAGCGGCAGCCCATCCGAAGCGACGGCCCACCTTGCCTGACCCTGATCAGAAAGCAAAAAGAATGTGCGAAAAAAGTAAATGTGGGTTCAAAAACGCGCTTTTGATCACTTAAGTAGGTTTCCGAATTTTCCTCTGGAATTCGTAGCGTCTTTTGTTGCTTTTCGTACTACTGCCGCACTCAATATTTCGCCATTTTGTTGCTTTCCTTTTATGATATCTCGAGATAGAGCTTTTTTACGCCAAATTATTTTAACGGATCTCTCACCAGCTCGTCCTGCTGGGCATTTTGACATATCAAAATTGGGTTTTGAGTAGGTGACCGTATAAGCAAATTTTCCCCTGGAATGTCCGAGCAAAGCTTTTTTTGGATGCCTTATTCTTCCGTCCGACAGGGCCGAAGACCGTATCATATTAGCACCTATAGGAATGGAACGCAGAAAAGAGGGCAGTTCGCAAAAAAAGATAAAGTAACCGTAAAAATTGAAATAAAGTAAGACGGCATCCCTTTAAATATAATTTCTGATGTCGGTGACCCGCGTCATTTGGTGTAGCGCGGAACGGAAGTACGGGATTTCCGATTTTTGCCCAGATCCCAGCCGCAGGACGGGTTCGAACCTACCCAGGAACGAATACTTATATAGATATGTGCATTATGGCAAGAGACCGAACCGACCGAATTTTGATAATTTCCTAGCCAGCTAGCTCGTTAATAACTGTGATTTCAAATTATTACTTTATAAATTTTACCTTATAAAATAAGTATAGGTTCGAAGCGCGACATTTGCTAATTGGCAGAAAGGAGAGACTCAGGGACGCCACAAACTACAAAACTAGCACTATACTCGAGATTATCGGGTAAGAAAATCGGAATTGGAGGTATCTAGCTATCTAAGTATCACCAAACTCGGTTGCTATGATTAAATCGGTATTTCAATAATGGCGGTTGCAGCGAGGGCACGGAGAACGCTCGTCAATTGTACCCTTCCGGCCCCGTCAGTGCCAATTCGCAACCTCGCGAGGGCAGCCAGGACAACAAACTCTAGACAATCGAGGGCGCATCACGAGTCGCCGTCGACCAACTGGTGTTGCCCCCAAGCAACACACCAATGCAATCCAATTCTACCTGAATTCAGACGACACATTCGACGAGATGGAGATCAATTTTATTGGGGACGACTACGGCCCGCTGTTCTACTACCAATTCCGGTTGATTCTCATCGGCGATTCGACCGTCGGCAAATCGAGCCTCCTCAAATATTTCACCGAGGGCAAGGTGGCCGAGATCAGCGACCCCACCGTCGGCGTCGACTTTTATGCGCGGATGGTCGAGCTGAAGCCGGGGTATCGCGTCAAATTGCAGCTCTGGGACACGGCCGGCCAGGAGAAGTTCAGGTGGGCGCGGGTTTTGGCAGCGATTTTGCAATTGGTTCGTAAAAAGCAAAAAGTGCTGCCCACTCACGGGATTGAACCGTGGACCTTCTGTTTACGAGACAGACGCTCTACCACTGAGCTAAACGGGCTTGGAGCGGGGGGAGTGGGAAAGGTTTTTGAGGGTAGCCCTTTCCGTTCCGTGTCGGCAAATGCAGGGGGGCGGAGAAGGTGAATAATTCGAAAATTAATTGAAACCAGGGTTGAAAAACCGCTTCGCGGCTTTTCAACCCTGGCCCCGTCTAACGCACATGATAGTCAAAAATATGCATATTCTTCCAGGACCTTGATCGCAAAAAAATGAAAAGAACCCCTTTCGCGCCCTTATATAGGCTTACCGCACTTCCGGCGCATGCAAATTGCCTCCTAACAAAGAGGTTTCTCGATATCTTTACAAAAACTCGATTTTAATAGCGAAAACATTAATTTTTCCAAACTTTTATGTGCGTGCACTTATCTCGGCGCCATTACGCATCTAATGACGTATCATATGTGCCTTAAAAGCCTTCCCCTGATCCGATACGTGCGGAACAGCCGGACGGAAGTTGCATGCAAATGCACACACACAGACACTATTTTTTTATATATAGTAGGACTAGGCTATTCAAATTGGGTTTTATTAAGCAATTAGTGGGATTTCGAAATTCGCCCTATCCTATCTTCTGCAGACTTTTTTGCCTGTTTCCAAATCCGCGTTCAAGACTGGAAAAATAGCTGAATTTAAAAAGTTAAAACGCATTTTGCCCTTTTCTAAACTATTTTTACTATCCCTAAACACGAAAAATTTACATATTTTTGAATGACAAATACAAAGATATCGGTTTTCGACGAAAAACGACCGTTTTGGCCAAATTTTCGACTTTTTGCAGAATTTTGAAATTTGTAGATAGTTTTTCTACCGGAAATATAGTTTTATTTTACCAAAAACATTATTAAATACTTTCTAATAAGTTACTAGGCATTTCTAGACTACAAAAAAATTTAGCGATTCCCCCCGATAATGGGAAAGAACCACCTTTTTTCTAGAATTTTGAGCTGCGGGCTCTTGAGATATCACGCTCAAACGAGCATTTTTCTCCGAAAACGAGCATTTTGCAATTTGTGGGCATGAATTCGGGATCAGCGAAAAATGCTGCACAAGATACACCTAGATGACTGGCTTGTAGCCCAGTGATTGGCCCGATTTCAGGTCGATCACCCGCTCCTACTACCGCAATTCGGTGGGCATAATGCTGGTGTTTGACGTGACGAGCCGCGAGAGCTTTGAGCATATCCAGGTGGGAGAGCAATAGTCTGAGATTCGAAATACTAAAAAAAAACTAAATTTGGAAAAATAAAACAAAAATAAATAAATAAAAGAATAACAATTCAGGGCTGGCTGAACGAGGCGCAGAATAACGTGGGTGGACCCTGCCCGGGACAGTCCGTCTTCCAGATCGTCGGCCATAAGGCTGATCGGGAGCAGGAGCGGCAGGCTCGTTTAGAAAAAAAAAGTTAGACAATCGAGTTTAGGTGCTTCACGAGGAGGGCGAATACTTTGCCAAATACCACAAGATGAAATACATCGAGACCTCGGCGATTACCGGCGAAAATGTGAATGACGCGTTTTTGATGGTGAGTAGCGCGAGAGGGCGAAGGTTTTCCACGAGTTACCGTCCCGAATTCAACTTATACAGTTTTTGAAGGTGCAATTTTGAATCTGCGGTGCATTCGCAAGATGAACTTTACAAATTTTAGTAAAAAATATCGATTTTTCGCCCAAAATGTCGAATTTTTAAATTGTTAGACAGTTTTCCTTTTAAATAACGGCTAAATTTTAACAAAAACATGATTACCAAAAAACACCGGCTATATTTGGCCAAAATTGCGACTTTTAATCTTTTTTTCACACACTTTAATACAGTAATTTTAATAAAAACAATTAAATAACTATCTATTTTAATACAAGTACAATAAATATAAATTTTTTCTAAGTTAGTTTATTCTTTTTCCACTTGAAATATCGTTAAAAAAACGTTATTAAAAAGTTTAAAAACGCTATCAAAAAACTGAATATTCCGCTGCTAGGGATTTCTGGGTAGATCAAAAAAAATGGGTTCCCCCGATGACGCTAAAGCTCCTCTGAACGATTTTAACGTCCCAAATTCAAAATTAATTAGTTTTTCGGTTTACTTGAAATTAAATAAACAAATTTTCAGATGGCGCACGAGGTGCACGCGCGTCTCGAGTCGGGCTACCTTCGAATCCAAGACGGATGGGAGGGGATAAAGAGTGGAATAATGGGAACGAGATCAATCTATCTTTCTGAGGAAGACCTACGCGACGATACGCCCTCAAATTCATGCTCCTGCTAACCTTTATGCTGTTTTTTGCGCTTTACGTTTGGCTTCAAGCTATGATTCTCGATGTTTTCCGCCCGGGGCATTCAATTTTTGGCGGATTTAGGGGGAAAGAAGGGTTGTTTTTGGAGGAGACGGCGGTTCTTTCGAAATATCAAAAAAAAAACGAAAAACTCCTAAGCCCAAGCCTAAGCCGAAGCCTAAGCCCAACCCAAGCCCAATCCCAAGCCTGAGCCAAAAATTAAGCTCAAAAGCCTAAATCTAAGTCTAAGCCGTACAAGCCTAAGCCGCGGAAGCCCAAGGCTAAGCTTAAGCTTAAGCCTAAACTCTTAAGCCCAAGCCGAAGCCTGACCATTCCTAAGCCTAATCCCAAGCCTAAGCCGCCCAAGCCTAAGCCTAAGCCGCACAAGCTTGAGCCGCCTAAGCTTAAGCCTAAGTCTAAACTCCTAAGTCCAAGTCTAAGTCCAAGCCAATGGCCTAAGCCTAAGTCTAGCCGAACAGCCCTTCCTTTTAAACCCCATTTTCCGCCAAAAATTCGATACCTAAAGTTTTCGTAGCATTTGCACTTTCCCACTCAGCACTTTCCACTACGGGTCAATCCACTTTACAACCAAATATGCCCAGCCTATTTTTTGGTGCCCACTTTGCCGGTTCTAAAGGTACACCCCCCCCCCGTTAATAGACTAGGCCACTTCCACGTCCCGTTAAACCCACCGATAGCGAGCTTTTTCACTGACAGCCTTTTCATGGATTTCGATTCTAGTCACCGCACAGTTAATAAACATTTATACCGCTTAATTATGACAGCTAGGTGGTGATACAAATTATGATGCAGCTGAGGGATGTCGAGCAGTCGGTCGAAACTGGTTTTTGTGCTGAAGGCGTTGACCTTTCCGGGGAGGAGAGAGAAAGAGTGAGAGAGAGAGCGAGAGAGAGAGAGAGACAGAGCAACACCACCATCGATTCCATTCTTTCCTCATACCGAGCAACATCAGGATGACCAGCGTTTTCGAGCCATTTTCCCGTTGCTTGACACCGCAGCCGTTTTTGGGTAACCAATTTGGCTTTTTCAATTTTCTCCATGCCTCTCTGCTTCAAAAATAAGTACTGGTCGAAAATCGGCAAAAATAAACTTTTCGGTATTTCAAATTCAAATTTGTAGACTTTTTCCGCTTATCACCAGCAAAAATCGATGAAATAAAATTTTCGTATTTATGCATCTACCGTAACAAAGAGCACATGCCAACGCCCCTAAAACATGACCCAAATGCCGGGAATGCGTCCCTTTATTCCCTGCCAATCTCGCAGGTCATTCCTCGGCGGCAGAGAGTGACTACAGGGGCTTTCCATTGTCATTTCGCGTACTATTCTCCGGTCTTTTCAATCTGACTCTCTGCCTCTCTCTCCCTCTCTCTCTCTCTCTCTCTCTCTCTCTCTCTCTCTCTCTCTCTCCCTTTTCTACCAGCCTGTAGCGGGTTCAAAATTTGGCCGTCAATTCTGCAGCACGGCTCCCTTTGCTTCTTTTCTTTTCCGTCCGCATACACCCACAACAGCCCTCCGTCCCTCCCTCTCCACTTTGTCCCGTTTGACCTATCGATTTTACTGCACCGTTTTTGCTGCACCTCTGACTAAATTCATGCGAACTGTACTGTTAAAACAAGACGAAGGTTTCAGATTTTAAAAATACAAATTTTGCTTGCACAATAAAAATTTCTGGCTCTAAATAATCCATTTCCTCATCGATTCAATGCATTACGACATTAAATGTTAGGCACTGGACTGATAGCAGGGGGGATTTTACGCAGAGAAAAAGATTTTGATCTTCCACCAATATCTCTGTTGCCGTTGCTAAAATAAAATGCATTTTTATAGCGGTTTTAGTACTTTTTTGATTGCTAGGAACCTATCAAAATATTAAAAATGTTTTTCCAATTTTCGAAATTAAAATTTTTTTGATTTATGTATCTAAAAAACTGTAAAATTTTAGAGAGAGTTAGAGAGCAAGAGAGAGCGAGAGAGAGAGAGAGCGAGAGCGAGAGAGAGAGAGAGTTAGAGAGCAAGAGAGAGCGAGTGAGAGAGAGAGAGATAGAGAGACGCAGGTGTCCATAGGAAGATGATTCCGCCTACCTGGACGTGCGCTTTAATGTCCAAAAAACATCACGTTTTTTTGGTTCCTTTTTCCGAGCACCTATCCAAATATGCGATGTACAGCAGGAAACGCCCTGTTTACACCTCTGCCGCCCGGTTTCCGGTATTTCATTATCGATTTTGGGGGGGGGGGGGGTAGTGTTGGCACGCCCATTCAAATGCATAGATTTTCGGCAATTTGAGGCGGAAGGCTACGGGGCGCTACACGGCACGTACGTACCACGACGGGGAGGAACATGGGGTCCGCACGGACCATTAAGTCTGCTAATCAGACGTAAAAATGGAAAGATGATGCGAGAATAAAACTAATCAAACACCAAAGACATTTATAACTAAAATTTCAAGTGATCTCATGCTTTGCAATTCAAAATTTTAAGGTACGAAATGCGTGGTTCGTTTCGTGGGCCGGATGGGGCCCAGCGTGGCGGACGTTGGCCGCCTCAGCGACGAGCTCGGGAATTGGACGATCTGCGAGCAGAAGTACATAAGCTGACACATTATATGAGATTTTTTCCAGGTGCGAGTGCTACGAAGGATGAATGGGATTGAGGGCAGACCGCGATGGCCTGAAGCAGTGCAACGACCTGTCCGGGACCGGCACCCGGATGATGCTTTGAACGGCCGGCGACATGGATACGCCCGGCGAGGAGCAGATCATCATCGACAAGGCGAAATCCAAGGGCAAGCTGAGGAGCCTGAATGGAGAGCGATTTTGAATCGAGCCCACCTTCCCGACGGCTTCAATCCCGATGGAGAGCCACATGATCAAAGGAGACCTGGGAGGGATCCGCACCCAGTACCAGTTCGGAACAACGTCGACGCCGAGGAGCGCCAGGATGAGCCGGCAGCCGAGCCGCGTGAAGCCGGAGAACATCATCAGCGTGCTGACCGCCTCGCCGCGGAGGCCCGCCATCAAGAGCTATTGGTAAGGTTTCGTGAGTGTACAGAAATATTTCTTTTTTAGAGAGCTTTTTTAGGTACTTCCTCGAATCTGAAATCGAAGATTTTGCTTCCACCATTCACGAATTTACCAGGCTTTATGTCCTCGTATACAAAGACGACAAGGCGAAGAAAGGCCCTAAAACTTTCACACCAAAGGCGCATTGGCTCATGCACCACGTATTACCTTTCCTACGCATACACAAAACCTGGGGTATTTTCTCAGAGCAGGGAGGCGAGGCTCTTCATAACATCGTGAACAAATTAGAGCGCCAATTCTGGTGTATGGAAAAAGACCTACCTCGCAAGTACCGGCTGATCGTCGAAACACTCCATCTTCGCACCTGGCTCGCCGATTCGCATTGCAGTGATTAATGTTTCTCTTCATTGTTGCATTGCTTATTTCGTTATTTTATTGTTGTTACTTTGTTGAATAAAATTTTATCTTTCGAAAGCATATTCCATCGTCCCTACAAACCAGTACAAAGCACACACCCCGCCGCCCGGGAAACCGGCCAAATTCAAACTAAACAAAAATCGCCTTCGTTTCGATACTTTTTGAATTCAGTTTTATTAGTGCTTGGTATCATTGGAATCGCCGTGTCCTATTCTACAAAGTTGGAAATCGATTTTTTTAAGATTCCTTTTAGTTTTCAAGTTATAAGGCTTCAAAGTTTGGGCCCCATACATTTTCTTGACGAATGGAGCGTCGCGTTGCTTAGGCCCTTATTGCCGCTATTTCTGGGCGTGGTTGGTGAGGCCCATCCGATTATTCATCGGGAGATTGTTTGGCCCGGGTTTTCCCCAAATTTTAGGGTTTGTTTGTTTGTTCCGCGGTCCCGTGCCGCGGTTAACATTTGGCAAAAAAAATATTCTATTCATAATGCTTTCCACGCGATTCCTTTTTCATGCCGTAATCGATTGTCATGTTTTCGTCATGTTTCTTCGTCTTGCTGATCCGACTTATTTTGGCAAAGTTTTATCCATCGAGATTTGCTTGGTTCTATCCCACTTTTTGAATGCCTGCAGCAAATTCTAAATTCTATGGCGCAATCGGTTCTTTAGTGCCATTTAAGCCTGACTCTAATAGTGGATTCCTTTCAATTTTTTCTCGTTTTTTAAGAGAATAGAATTTTTATGCTAGAAGGGGTAGGTCGGAACCGGTTGAGCGGCCTCTTTTTCTTACAGGAAGAAGAAGAAGTAAAAATTCGCGTATGCGGGATTGCACTTACTTGTCAAAAACGAATGGGTGACTGCCGAGAAGAACCACAAAAGTGACTTCTTTGTGAACAGAAACGTAAAATATTTGAAGCCAAAAGAAAGCCCATGGGGCGAAAACGACTTTTTGACAGCGCGCCGATTACATGCCGTAATGCCTTGTAAGGCCCCAATCTCTCGATCTCGGCGATTCTCAGATCAATCTTCATAAATAAAACGACTACAATGATCAAAATTGGATGATAATTACAGAAATAGATTCAGAATTTTGAAATTCAAGCGTTTTCGCGTACAAAAAGGGGCAAAAGATCACGCGGTTGCATCTGGCTATTTGCCAGGAATCAACGCAGAGGGCCGTGGACCAAATCTCGGAGCCCCTTTAATCTACTTAACCTTTTTTGCTCAGCCAATTTCTCTGTGTGTTGTTTTTGGAAGGTTTTAAAACTTTTTGGCGTTTCCTTAAAGGGCACGTTCAGGGACGTTTTTTTGGAAAAAAGCAAAGGTTTGTGCCGCGGCCGGGGTCGAACCCGGGTCCCCCGTTCGGGAGGCGCGGATGAATACCAGTCAGCCACAGCTACAACCTGGCAAGGGGGCGAGGGGCGCCCCACGCCGCAAAGGAGGGGAATGGCCTGTCACAGCACGGGCAGGCAGTGCGCGCGGTCCCTACGTCCATAGGGTGTACACGTTGGGACGAGTACACGGCCCCTCCCTGAACGTGCGCTTTAAAGAACGGACGGAGGGAGGAATTTCCCTTATTTATTATTTTCCTCTGGAAGCTAATACTAGATTTTTTTGAACGATTCCATTTCCAAAACTTTCTACCAGACCCCTTGCCAACCATTTTACCCCTTACCCCCGCAAATCCACGCCGAGAACCCCATTTTTTGGTTGAAACCCCGGCGCGATCCGTTGGATGTTTGGTCATTGATTGATAGGGCGAAATTCCGGGGATGGGCGATCGCTCGGCCCATTTTTGCGCACCGGCCACGGGAATTGAGCTGCGGCCGCGGTTTCCGGTTGAGAATTCGCGTCGATAAACCTGGAATAAAGCGGGAACTTCACCTGTGTAGTAAGGAAAAATAGTAAAGGAGAATGTATCTAATACACGACGAAAAACACCAATATACGCTAATTTGAAAATTTCCAAACGGATTAAATCGAGCTTCTGCGTCTCCCATAAGCGAAAATCTAGCTTTTCAGTCGAAAAATATTGGAAAATCGCGCTTTGCTGCTCTCTCTCTCTCTCTCTCTCTCTCTCTCTCTCTCTCTCTTTCTCTCTCTCGCTTTCACTCTCTCTTTCTCTCTCTCGCTTTCACTCTGTCTCTCTCTCTCTCTCTCGGTTTCACTCTCTCTCGGTTTCACTCTTTCTCTCTCTCGCTTTCACTCTGTCTCTCTCTTTCGCTGCCTATCTCTCTCTATCTCTGTCTCTCACCTCTCCTGATTTTACTAAATTGACATAAAACAATAAAACAGAATCTCCCAGGCGTTCCCACATGAAATTGGCCGATTTATTGACTTCGGATGACAGTGACGGTGTGTAGCTTTTCAACGTTACGTACGCTACATTCCAATTGACATATCATCAGTTTGGTTTAAAAATTTAACTCTTGGAATATACCACATCAACAGCAAAATGGTGCATAGATTCAAGCGATTACCGTATGTTGTGCCGAGTACACGGCCGTGAAACGTAAGCAGCAGCCGAACGGCCCCTGTTATCACAATTTTGCACACCGGCTTTTTTTCTGAATGCCCCCAGCCGTCTTTTTGTGGGTTCTTCTGGACCGACCGCTCAGAAAAAGCGGGTATCTCTAGCTTCTTATCTAGATTTTTTTTCTGTTCTGCCCCCTTGTTTCTACCCTTTTTTGTGGGCCATTCATTTGGACATCATGGCTTCTTCTTGCAGGACTGGATTCTTTCTGGAAAAAGAGGAAGAAGAGGAGGACGAGGGACAGCTGATGGATTATTATAAGTATCGACGACTACATGATACGCCAGATGACGATGACTTGGAGCCGACGCCATCTACCTCGTGAGTCATTATTTCAAGGAATTTGCGTTTTTGCCTTAAAAACGTTCAAACCTTCCACTTGTCCGCTGTAGGTTACCGTAATCTACCGTAATCCATCAATTTTTTCCATTTTTTTGAGGACGTCTATTAGCTCGAATTTTGGAGAATTTGAGTGTCTTTAAATGATCTGTGTTTGGATCCGAAGCGCCTAAGCCTGAGCCGAAGCTTAAACCCAAGCCAGGCCTAAGCCAAGCCTAAGCGTAAGCCAAGCCCAGGGCCGAAGCCGAAGCCTAAGTCTAAGACAAGCCTAAGCCTAAAGCTGATCCAAGCCAAACCTAGCAAAATATAACCTAGCTAAGGCAAGCCAGGCAAGCAATCTAAGGCAAGCCGAGCCAAGCCAAGCCAAGTCGTCTAAGACTAAACCTAAAGCCTAAGGCTACTAAAGGCCTATCTCTAAAAGCTGATTCGTAAAAACCCCGTTAAAAATAGCAAAAACCCGGGTTCCAACATCACGTCTAAAAACGGCGCTGCTGGTCATTTTTTGGTGGACTGTTCTAAATCGTGCCCTTTCTCTCTCTCTCTCTCTCTCTCTCTCTCTCTCTTGCCTCAAATCACAAAACAAGAGCTCTGACATTGGAGATGCAAAGGGGTCCCCCCAAATCGATAGTATGTCCCCCTCTTGCCTTTTATCGGTCTATTTTGAGAATGACCCGAGATTTATTGAGATCCCCCGGGAAGGATCACCTCCACCTCCTCCTCCCCCCGGAAATACAGCCCCCCAAAAATGATTCGAATGAAAACCCGAGAGGGTGGAAGAGAAGGAAGAGGAGGAAGAGATTGAGAGTACGATCACATCCCCCCACCTATAGACAGACAGTCATTCCCTTCATACAACACTACCAAACCATCCTATCTACGGTTGATCATCGACTATTTTCACCCTGTAACACCGGCAATTATGGATCCGCATGGTGTCAAGTGAGTATATTGATCCGAATTAACGGTACGGTATCGGCACGACCCGTCGGCATGTCGCCGTATTACACCGAATTCTTCCCAAAATTGGACCTGGGACGTATCGGACCCTAACTAACAACAATCCAGAGATATATCCCCATTGCTACCGTAATCCTCGAGTTACAACAAAAATAATATTTTTCCGCAATGCCAAAGAGTTTTTTCGGCTTGCTTCTTTTTGGGCTTTTCAGCAATTGGCATCTACCTTCGGCCGTGAATCCCTTAAACCGAAACCCAGGAAAAACCACTAATTTTTATAACTTTGTAATAACACCAGGAACCAAATATTTTTAGCTGTTTAAAAACTAAAAAAACCACGATAGTCGAGTCGAAGTGGCGTTTCCATATCGGTGCCCTACATCTGGAATTGGGGGCTGAGTTCGGACTGAAGCGGAATTTTTTGGAGGCCAAGTCAACCATCTTAATTTTTAACCATATTGTTCGATTTATTATCTAATTTCCGTTAGCAATTATAGATAATGAAACGTTTATTAATAAGATAATTTAAAAAATAGCGGTTTGGGCGCTGCTTTTGCGGCCATTTTTGAATTTACGTATTTTGAGGCGCTTCAATTCCACCAGAAACAGTTTTAACTATATTTTAGAATTTTTAATACATGAAAAAGTAGAGTAGTTCAAATTTTAAGAATTTTTTCTCTACTTCCTGCTCAATATTTCCCCCGTTTCTTGACCCAGACCAAACCGACAGAATTCCCAGACCAATTCCTCCCACACACCCACAACTCAAATATCACCATCGTCGAAAAGTGCGAGAAAATCGTGGCCAACCTTGAACGGGGCATTCATGCGAGAATTGTGAACGCGCCCGTTTTTACCGCATTTTTTGCGTGAACTTTGCGTCGCGCCAATTATCTGGCAGTTGGAAGGGGAAGGGGAACAGGAACGGGTCGAAATCGTGAAATCTACCCGGATATTGACTGTCTGTGGCTTGAAATTGCGGTTTAGGGCGTTTTTATTCGCAATTTCTTGAAACAGTTTTCACTCTTTCTCTCTCTCTAGCGCTCTCTCTCGCTGTCCCTCTCCACAAACGGTCTCGATCTATCGATCTCTAACGCTCTCTAGCTCTCTCACCATGGCACTCTTTCGCTGTCTGTCGCCCTAACTATCGCTCTAGCTATAGCTCTCTCAATCTGTCTCTCTCACACTCTCTCTCGCTCTCTCTCTCTCTCTCTTTCTCGTTGTCTCTCCCTGGAACGCTCGCTTACTCGCGCTCCACCTCTCTCTCGCGCTATCTCTCGCCAGCTCTTAGATCCCTCTCTCTCACTCACTCTCTCTCTTCCTCTCTCACTCTCACTCTCTCTCTATCTCTCAGCCAGCCCAAAAATCGCGTTTTTGGTCATGACTTCCGGGTCCCTTAAAATCTCAACGTTCCGCAAAGATCCACTGCTAGCTAGCTTGCCAGTCATAACCTCAAGTTGTCGTCTATTCCCCTATTATAATGCCCAGTGTAGATCACTGAAATACGGCTCGATTCCCCGATTTATTGTCACCATCGGTTGTTTTCGGGGGTCGGCCCTATAGCCCTCCCCCTCGAATCGGCCCTTTTTGGAAGTTTTTTTCTAGCGAGGAACACGCCGGTCTTTTTTTGCTATTTCCTGTCTATTTGACGAGAAAGAGAGAAAGAGAGAGAGAGAGAGAGAGAGAGAGCGTAAGAGAGTGAGAAAGAGAGCGAGAGAGAGAGAGAGAGACAGAGCCGGATACTATTTCGCGATTGCTTGCCCCGGATTTCTTGTTTTCTAATGGGTGTCTGTTTTTCCTTCAGCTTAGGCGATGCCTTAGCCGTTCCCCTTTTGCCCCCATTCGGTGCTATTTGGGCAACGGCTTTAACACCCATTATATCAGCTTAACGCCTATCTATTAATCCAAATTATCTTTTTAAATGGGTTTTGAAGGCAAAAACAAGATTGCAGATTGCCTAAAGTTTGTTTCGAAAATCGATTTTTAGCTTTCAAAATAAAGATTTTTGGCTTTAAATTACCCAATTTTTACGGCTTAACGCATTACGACTTCAAATACTTGGTACAGAACTGTTAGCGGGGGAGGGGGGTTACGAGAAAGGAATTTGTGCTTTTTTGTCTATTCACGACTTGCCTGTTAACTTATTAACAGGTAACATTAACAGATATTAAACTATATAATCGATTTTTTAGGTTTTACGGTAGTTTTTGATTGTAGAAAGTTGTAAAAAAACTTTAAAATAATGGAAAATTCCAAAATTTGAATTTTGTTGATAATTTTTCACACATTTTTGAGCAAAATGCCAAAATTTTCGAAGTTTTTATCTTAAAAACTGTTTAAATTGCTATGAAATGGTAGACTTTATTTGATATTAGACGATACTAAATCTAGATGCAAAATTAATCCCCCCCGGCTAACGCCCCCCGCTAACAGCCTAGTACCAAATACGACCTATCTGCCCGCGTTTCCTGTATACCATTTTGTAGTGACTTTTGAACGTCCGTTTTATGAGCTTTAGGCCAAAAAAAAATTGCGACAATCAATTACGCCATTAAATTGGCTGTTTTTACAGGTCTTGAAGCTACAATAATTCCCAGAAAAAATTTGCGTCACACTCTCTGGCCATTCCGGCCATTTTATCTCGATCTTGGCTATCTGCTTGACCCCGGGGCGACGAATTGCAAATTCATGCGACCCGGTTTCCCTATAAATTGACCCGAGAAATCGTACATCTACTCTGGGTTTCTTTCGATTATTTCTTCTAAAATTACGCCACTTAAACCGGCGAAATCTTCTTAAATGCCGTGCCCAAATTGCGCGCACACTAATGGAAAGAAGCTTTCCTCCGAGCAGATGTTCCGACGGAAACTGTCGACAATACCCGAGCTTCTCTCTGAGGGTTTCGACAGTTTGACCGGATATGGACCCGTTGAGAGGAAGATATCCCAGAGGAAATTGTCTAAGATGAAGTGGGTGAATGGGGGTAGTGGGACGATATGTTTAGAGGGACGAGCAAGGCTGTCTGACTTACAAGGAGTCTTTTTTAGGTGATATTGGAGTTTTTGAGCGAGACCTAGCTATTTCGATAGAGAAAAAAATTCTGAGCAAAATGTCGTTTTCCAAATCTGCTAACCGTGTATTGTATTCGATAAAAATTAATTTGAAAATCATTAATTTCGCCATCATTTCTCAGCGGATCCGCAGGTTTGGCTCGGGCGGTGCGCCTGAACATAGCCCCCCTTCAGACCCTTGAACCACCATGATCGCGTAGCATATTGGTAGCGCATTTGCTTCATAAGTTTTATCTTTTTTTTTTGACGTCGGGTTCGACTCCTAGCTAGTGAAACTCTTTTGCTTTTTGCTCTGTGATGCCATATATGGCCTCAATAGCGTTAAAAACCAAAAGGCAAAACAGCTAATCAAAAAAAGTTCCGAACCCGCGAGCATAATTTTGCAAAAATTTGATAGGCGCCTGCACTATCCACTAGGCCACCATCTCATGCGGATGCTGGTGGCATTGCGGCTAATGTCCCGGGTCTGATCCATCCGTGGCCGCGTGGCGCCACGGAATTTTTTTCATTAGAATTAATTTTTATCGAATACAATACACGGTTAGCAGATTTGGAAAACGTCATCTTGCTCAGAATTTTTTTCTCTATCGAACTAGCTAGGTCTCGCTCAAAAACTCCAATATCACCTAAAAACGACTCCTTGTTAGGTTTAGGCCTAGCTTAGCTAGCTTAGGCTTAGGCTTAGGTGGCTTAGGTCGATGAGGCTTGGCCTAAGCTTAGTTTAAGCTTTGCTTAGGCTTAGGCTTAGGCTGATCTTAGGCTCGGCATCGGCGTTCGATTAAGCCTAGCTTAAGCTTAGACTTGAGTTCTTGTGTAGACTTAGGCGTAGCTGAGGTTTTGGCCTTCTTTCTGGCTGAGGCCTCTGCCTAGGCTTAGGCCTAGGACCATGCGTATGCATAGCTTAGGCTTAGCTTAGGCTTATCTTAAGACCATGGATTTCATCTTACCTAACGGGCAGCGATACGAGCGATAATGTCAAAGTAGATTTGTTTGGAAAAAGTACCAAGTAAAGAGTAAAAAAATCTAAAACAACGTTAATTCTTACCAAGATCTTTTTAGGCAATATGACCTAAACACGCAGATTGTCGACGGTTCGACGTCGTCTACAGAATCTGATGGGGATGAGGTTGGGCAACACCTCAAAACTGTCTAAAAATGCAAATTTTTGTAGGATTTCGACCCATTCCTTGCCGACAATCCGCCACAGGAGACACGGCGAGAATTTTTGACGCGTGGGTTTTAACTAAATCTGAATTTTTAAAGAGAGAGAGAGAGAAAGAGAGAGAGAGAGAGCCAAGTATATAGGGAGAGAGAGAGGCAGAGAGATACGAAGCGTGAGAGCGAGAGTGAGATAGTGACTCGGAGTGAGAAAGCGAGAGCGAGGGATCGAGAGCGAGCCAGAAAGCGAGAACAAGAGCGAGAGCGAGAGAGAGAGAGCGAGAGCGAGAGAGGGAGAGACAAAAATCCCTCTTTTCAGGCCAATACCGTAACATTGTCCATTTCTTCGTGGAAGATTGGTTCCTCTCCGGCGTTCTGGGCGTTATAACGGCCGTTTTATCGATAACAACAGATGTGGGAATCGAATATTTACAGCACTGTAAGTCTGGCGATACTTTAAAAGAAGTGGAGTTACACTGGAATTGAATCGTACACTTGAATGGTTCGCTAAATACGCCTTCCACCGTGTGATTTTCAGTCAAAATCGTCAGCTACGAGTACTTCAAGACGACAAGTGTCTATAGCGGATTTGCGGCATGGGTATGTTTTCAGGACTTCAGTACTGAATTAAAGGGGGCTAGCAGCGAAAAATCGACCCCAGCCCTCGGCTAGGTCTCGACAGCTACACAACGCACCAGGAAACGCTGTTTTCTATTGGATTGCAAGAAAAAATACAGGATTTTTGCGGCAGTTCGTGTCTGTCTATACCTAGTCGAAAAAGAGTAGATTCCGACACATCTCAGTCCCTTTAAAGTCCCAATACGCCACGAAAATTGAAAACAACCTCTTTCCAGGTACTTTTCTTGGTGATCTGCGTCTCGATAGCCGGCCTAATATGTCACGGCATCTCCAAACAGGCCGTCGGTGCGTTCATTTTATCGCGCAATCGATTACGCGTCTTTTAGGATCCGGAATCCCTGAAGTGAAGGTCATCATGGCCGGGTTTGCCATGAAAAATTACCTCACCTTTCGGACGCTGGTCGCCAAGATTTTGGCGCTGGTTTTTACGCTCGGGTCGTGTTTGCCCGTCGGGAAAGAGGTCAGCAAAATGTTTTGTGTCTCTCTCTATCGTCCTAGTCATCTCTATCACTCTCCCTCACTCACTCACTCACTCACTCACTCACTCGCTCTCTCGCTCTCTCTCTCTCACTCTCTCTATCCCTCTCTCTCTTTGTCTCACTCTTTCTCGTTTTAGCTCATTCTCTATCTAATTCTCCTGTTCTCCCTCCCTCTCTCTCTCTCTCTCTCTCTCTCTCTCTCTCTCTCTCGGTCTCTCTCTATCTCTCCTTTCTCTCGCCGTAGCGCTCGTAGCGTTTTATCGCCCGTTCTTTGAAGCGTAG